GCATATATGCCGTGACTGGGTACAAGATAACGTCATCCCCGGATGGTGTACGTTACCTACCTACCTATCTACACCCTACCCCGTCATCACTGCACCCTTACTGTCGTACACATACATAAATATACGAGATGACTATACACGGAAGTCCTAACTTCCGATGTTTGTGTGTGTACAAAAATACGTAGGTATGTGTATGTATATATATATATAAACATTGTTTGTAGCCGATAAATCGTCCATGCGTGCGCGTGGGCTTAAGATATCGACAAAAGGTATGGTTTGTTGTAAACGGGAGAAGGGGGCGTATAAATAAAAGAAAGGTCTTGCAATATTGCGAGTGTCGTCCAGCGGCGGGCGTGACTGTGCCAATTTATGCGTTAAAATAAAACAAAAACTACCCGTGAGCAGCAGAGCTCCGTCACTGAGTTGAATTTCCTCTCCTCCCATCCCCTATTTTGTATAGTAGAAATATTCTTTGCAAAGCGATAAATAACCGAATACTATAATAATTGCTACAATATTGTAATACACTAGAATATTACTTTCAAAACAAAATGGTGAAATTTTATCTCAAACATAGTAAGGGAGTTGGAAATTGATACCCTCAAAATAGACATACTTCATACGAATGTCATGCTTATTTAAAATGGTCTAGTTTCATTTGGGGAGTCTGCTCTTAATTTATTCTCAACAACATGGTCAAATCTATATTGAAATTCATGGTTTATCGTTTCTTACCGATAAAAATAAAATAACTTTATGTATCTTACCTTCCCAACTTCTCACTTGCCCGCTCCCATCCCCAGTATCAGCTTTTTTATTATTTTAAATTTCTAAGATTAATGTTTTCTATCAGAAATCTTGCTCCAATCAAAAACCGACTAGAGAAGTTTTTTGTTGGATTTTGGATCTATTGGAAATGTTTATTGTTTTTTCATAGTCCAGATAGTTTTCCTAATAATCGGATAAAACTGGCAAAAACGCAGAAAGAACGTAGAAATATTTACAAGGATAACGGTTCTATTATTTTCAATTTTGTTTTTTTTATCATAATTTGGTTAAAAATATTTGTAGAGACCTGGAATTCTCCCATAAAACTTAAATTAGCATTATCTAGATATGGTAAGATTTTCAAAATGTTGAGATGTTTATTTATACGCTTTATAAGCTATTTATAAACATTTTATATTTCCGAATATTTTTTACATGTAAAATTTACAATTTCTTTACTATGTATGTGGACAAAATTGTTTGATCAAACATGAATGCTTGAAAATTGAACCCGAGGTTTATTATAATTTTTACCTACTTATTGATTTAAGAAAAACAGTTGAGTGAGTTGTAAGAGGTTTTTTTTTCTTATAAAAGTTCTAAGATCAAATTTTGATGGAAATTATAAAAACTACGATATTTCAAAACATGTTTAATTGAATTTCACTCAGAACCGTATTTCATTAGCAATGGGTTATTTTTTTTTTTTTTTTTTTATGAATCATTTACCCAAAAAATGTATTTTATAAAACGCTCACCCTTAAGAGTAATTTTCATGTAGAATTTATGGATAATATTATATAAATTTCGTCTCCTCGGTGATTTATGATTTATATGATACAATGTGTACGCTTGCCGTATTAGGCGTATTACTATTGAATATTGTTATAGATACCTATACGAAAAGTTTTACTATGCAGATAAGTAGGTTTTTCTGGTCGTGACAGTTGTTCAGGTGATTATTATTATCATAATGTTATTACCATTACTTGCAGACGAGAAACACAATAAATTGGTTTCATGGTTATGACAATATAAATGCATTGCATTAGACAGAACTAACATAATATTAACGTAAGTAGTTTATACGTTTATATAGATGCAAATTTACCTATCATAATTATACTAATAATTAATAATATAATTATTACTAAATTGTATTACTATATTAGTATTTTCTTTTAACAACAGTGCAGCAAATTATCATACGAATTTGAATTGTTTGAAATGTATGGTACTGACGATAATATGATAATAGGTAGGTATGTAATAATATTTAGCCTTCAGAACCCAGATTTCAAAGCAATATATGTGCATATTTGATTAAATAAAATATTCGATTCTACATTATATAATATTACCTTTAGCATAGAAATTGATTTCCTGTGTGCGAAAATATCGTAAAACAAAATAAATAAATGTATATTAATTCTATTACTTGATGATTTTAGATTCTGAGCGTAGCGTTTTAAATCGAAACTGGTCGTATTTACCTACAATTTATATAATACTCTATAAATACTTCAGGCTTTGACATGTTCTTTTTCTCTTTTTGTCTCTCTCTTTCTATATACATTTATTTATTTGTTTTGCATATTATATTATTATGTATATATATATATATATTTTTTTTATGTTTTATAAATCAATTTATAGAAGTTTCTATAGATATATAATATGTAATAAAAAACTCAAAAGCATTTTTGGAATTCAGTATAGATAGGATTTTGGGTAGCACTTGTATAAATTTGTGCGAAGACTAAATAGTTGGATCCGATCTCAAGTGGTCGTGGAAATACTGCACATTATGTAGTTATATTTATAATAGCTTGCAACCGAAGGGTCCGGTATAAAGGTTAACGTGGGTAATCTCTGACACTCATCTCTAAGGTTATGTGTAAAACAAACGACGCCCTTGTGTTTTATGCATCGCTGTTCGGGTATACGTATAATAGAACACTTACATTTTTATATTTTGCCCTGCGAGGTGCACTAGAATTACATTATTTTATTTTATTATATGTTGTTATACTTAAATTTATTAAGCATCTTCCACATTGATTGAAACAACAGATTGGACATAAAACTAAAATAAACTACAAGGAAAACGTCTAAACTACCTCAAACTATATATACCTATTACGGCAGTATCTTTTATTATAAAATATTTATAAAACGCGTTATCTATAATGAGAGTTTCTTTTGACGTTTTCCAGTCTTTTAAGTTTTATTTGCAACAATTTTTCAATTATTCCATTAAAAAAAAATTAGTTTATTTTTTCTACCACTTAACGAAACTAAAATATTAATTTGTGTAAATACTTCATAATAATTATAAACAAATTTGTGTTTTGAGATTACAAAAAATCATACGCACCTAATTAATAATTATTTTATTCCATATGGGATTTTAAAGATTTAACATTTTAAAATGTCTACATGATCAACAAAATTGATCGTTTGTTGGTAATATTGAATGATTAATCGATATATTGAACAAATTAAATTTGTTTGATTTGTATTTCACGCTGTTAATTACAAGTTGCGTTAGTTTATAGTTAGTATATTAGTATATTGACAATAAATCTCCGATATATATTATAATTTAGCCACAAAAAAAACAAAAATGAAGATGATTCATAGTTGATAACAAATTTAAAATAAAAATCTTTACAACATTAATAATTAATATAACCTAATATACTGATACGTCGGTGGTCAATTAAAATATTCTTCAATATTTTTCAATAATATTGATGAATACAAATTGATCATCAATAGGTCGCTAATATGGTAGGTGATAAAAAAATATAACAAATTTTAATTTGACGCAATGGAATTATTGTAAAAGGTAAACCAAGTTTCTAGCGCATTATTTTAAATACATAAAAAAATGTTTTTATTGAATAATCGATAACAAACTTTTTTTTTGGGGGGGGGGGGAATAAATTAATTTTTTGCGCGTGTGTGATGTTGCGATGAGTGTTTTTCCGCGGTAACAATAAGATAATATTATGCACCATCGAATTAATTATTATATTATATTTTGTGCAGTCACCTATACTACCGTTAAGTACGTATTGTTATATATGGATAAAAAGGCGACCAAAAAAATATTAAGCCCTTATATTGATCGAATAATGATAATAATCGCAGTACTACTTAACCGATTGCCGTAGGTATATAACTCAGACATAATAATTCAGTTAAAGGGAAAACTTTACTCCATTTCCTCGTTAAAAATAACGAGTGTGCCAGTGCACTCATAACTATACAGTAGTAGGTAGGTACCTACCTACCAGCTAAAGGCTATATGGTCGCATTAGTCTTCGCTGCTGTAAACGTGTGTAGATTTGTGTATAAAACGCGACAATTTACCGGAAACTGTTCGTTTAAATGGCTACTTCCGAGAAGTTTCCAAAGCCACAAACAAATTAAACGGATCTAACCAACTGCATAATTATATAACCAAGTAGGTAAGTAGTAGTGTACTGATCTGTGGTAGGTCCGTTTGCTATAATTATTATTATATATCTACATAAATTGCTGCAGGTTGCAGCTTCCAAAAACATAATTATATTATATATTATTATTATTTTTATTTATAATGGTTTATTTAAAACCTTAAAAATAGTTACTTTTTTTTAAAATCGCGTCATTTTTTCCTTTAATTACATACGCACTTTTATTCTTTAGCCCGGAATAGATATCTAGTTAAACTTGACTATGTTTAATTTTCTTTTTTTTTTCTTTGTAAATACAATTAAATTAGTATGAAGTAGTAAATTATACATACTACTAATTCATGATCAATAAATATAATATACATTGCAGTATACCTAAACGTATTTGGGGTTGTTTCTCCAATGAGATTGCCCCTTTCCTTAGTCTAAATTACTTAAGTCGTAGGGCTTCAAGCGTTTAAGGTGCCTAATGTCTTGTGAGTTATTTACATGTTTGTTAACGAACTCTTTATTTCCGATCTGGATGGATGGTATCTCGAGAGCATGATAGATGACGTCGTTCTTGACGAACTAACATGCTACGACAATAGTTCGAAAGCTATAATTTTTTATTATTAGAACAGTTCGCGATGTAAAGTGTATTTCTGAGATGAGAGTAATGTCAATATTTTCTAGGTGCAAGAGGTCTTTGAGTTCTTGTTTACCTTGTACTAGCTTGTTGGCGTTTCATGATATAATCCACAGTATGCAGTTCATTTTTTTCTTCTAAATTTTGTTATTAGTCTTGGGTTGACTACTTTCTAACCTATCCAATCTAAGTTTAACACTTTCTATTGATTTTGTTATTTTATTTAATGCAGTTAAGATATCTACTAAAGTGGAATCATTTTTGTCAGACTGTTGTTGCTCATACGTATGGGACGTTTTGTCTTTAGTATTTGAAGAACCAGCCATCTGAGCGTAAGATACGTCCGCTGTGGCTGTTTTTACAGGATTCTGCTATATACGCTGTCCGCAGTTACCTTTTTTGTGTGCACTCTTCCTTTTGCTTTCTTTTAGGCAAAGCAGCCTTTCCAGTTTGCAATGTGTACTTCACCACAATTTGCACATTTTGGTTTTAATTTTTTCGATTCTTGGCAGTCTTCTGTAAAGTGATCATTGCAACATTTCACATTTACAGACTTTTATGATAATAATTTTATATGTGACCATAGAACTGACAGTTTTTATATTGTGGTACGTCTTTTTTTCTTTCTTGGTGGATCAATTTTAATTTTATAGTAGTATAAACGGTCTACATTTTAGATGTCTTTATTGTAAACTTGTGAGTATTCGTCCACAAAAAATAATGGTAATTTAATCATCATCCATTCCCTATTTTTGTCTTTTGGATTCAATTTTTTTTTTATTTGGATATTAGAAATATTACTTACAGAATGACCAAAATCAGCTAGATCACTTTTGATTTTGTAAATTTCATTGTCAGGGTGTAATCCTCGAATTGCAACATAAAACATTTTTTTAACTTTTAATTGGGAATCTGTAATACTCAATTTTATTTTTTTCTAGAACTTTTAATGTTTGTTTGAATTGATGTTCATCTCCTGTCAGGATTTGTATGTTTTCATTAGAATTGGTTTTAACTGCTACTCATGGCCAGTAGCTTTTTGTCGAATTCATTAACTTACTAATTTGTTTATATTTTGAACACTACCAGTCGTAATCTGTGGAGGTTTGTAGGTAAATTGTAGACACTTTTTTCTGTCATATACACTAATTTTTTTGATAGGTTTAAAGTAGTATCAGGGCTAGGACTCGAATTATCAAATATTTTTACAAAATTATTAGTAGTAATATTATTAGTAATACTCACTTGTAATACTCAGTCAAATTTACTTTTAGAAAAAATTCTTTCATCGTAAATTTGATCAAAATTGCTGGTAAAAAAGTTGTTCACAGAAAAAAAATACACATCATTGTAAAACCAATACACTCGACGATCTCCTCAGAATCTAAAACAAGAACACAAGTAGTTTTACATTTAGGTTGCAGGACCATGTTTGTGGGTGGGGGGGAGTTGCAGAAAAAAATGTAATGCTCTATACCCTTTGTTTCGGTCGAACTGATTTTATTGGACGTAAATTTCGCGGAAATAATCTTTTATCGATGTCGAGTAGAAAATCGTTGTTTTCAATCATTTAAATTCTCCGATGTTTCATTACTCCGATGACTTCAGAAATTTGTTTTAATAAAGCGGAATATGAAAATTTACGAGACTGGTATAATCATTGATATACAAAATTATATTTTATAAATCAATACTGGTAAACAATTTATATTGGATATGATTATTTAAATTAAGTATTAAGGTAATCTACTTATATAAACTATATGGTACACAAATATTCGGCAAAATTGATAAAATCCCCTTTAATTAATAATCACCATGGATTGTGTCTGCAAGCTTCAGGTACCTATACTAGCGTTATCGAACGACGAGTGCGCGCCGATTAACATTGTTAATTGATACATCTCCAGTTATTTTAGTAGTTTACTAGTAAATTACCCGTCTACCGGACAACTACACGTTTTGTTGATTTTCTAAAACATCAACAACTTTTTTCGAATGATTCTACAACGTAAAGTTCCAATAGCGTGCCTGCCCAGGATTTTTAGTTCGATTAGAAGGGGCTAAATTAAAAAAACTTAAAAAGTAATATTTTGTAAAATTCATAATTATTTAAATTATAATACAATTATTTGTACTTGGTTGAAAAGGTAGTATAAAATATACAATGATTATTTTATGTTATTAGTAACTAACTGAATTACCCGGTATTTTCTGAGTTAACCTTTATCCCTATCATAGTAATAATTGTTGCTCGGTAATTAATCTTTTAAAAATGATACTTCATTGTCATAGGTGTTAGTTCATATTGTTATTATTTTTAGATTCTGAGTGGAGCGGCATCGGACATAGTATTTCATAATGATATTTACATTAATGTTAAATTATCATGGGTAAAATTATGTTGTCATAATCTATATCATTATAACTATACATTGTTACTATATTAATATAATTATTTAAATACTAGCTGTCGCATGCCCGGTGTTGCCCAAGGTAATTTTTTATATTGAACAAAAAAAGTTGGTGGAAAGTGAATAGTCCGCGAACTAAAAATGTTCTAGTGTATCATACAAATTTTCATTCGTATTACTCCAGATATCCGCATAACACAGAAATTAAACTTTAAGATTCAGAGATGACGGTTTACGTCTTTTCACTTTTAATTTACCCACCCAGTAGAGTGCAGCATAGTTTTTTGTTTTATTTTTTTCATTCGTGTTACCAAAGTACCCCATCCTATTTCAAACCAACAATATACCGGAAGAAAGTCAGATAGACTGTTGATTTTAAGTTGTTATAGTTATGACGTTTTTATTTCTATTTATTTATTTATTTATTTATTTTATTTTGAGTATAACGAAGAAGCTTATGGTTTTACAAAGATGTTTACTTTTTTTTTTTTTTATCTATGGACAACTTGTTTGCAATCAATTTTTCTCCTATTTACAATGATAGTACTTTTTTTTAAAAGGAAATCTGACTAGGGTGGTATTTTAAAAAGGATTTTTTTTTTTTGATTTTCTCATCTGTTTTCTTAATAAATGGGAAAAACCGGGATAATAAATCAAGAATTTTCAAACCTCAATATGTATAAAGTTTAAGTATTGGTGGGTACCATATTGTAGCATGTTTTAAATATTCATTCAAAAATCTTTTTTTTTGTTCAGTAATTCGATATTAAAATTCATGAGATTTGTATTTACAATCAGCTAAACGAAAAAAAGAGTAAAGTAACTAAGGTATTATGAAAATCCTGTTATTTTGTAGTTATATTATTATATTATCAGCTAGTTAATAAACTTATTTAATGAACTAAATATTTATCTGGTTGTACTGTGTGAATTTATTTTTATTCAATTTATTTATATTTGTTTATTACGGACCTACTTATACGTAACATATGTATTAAAATAGTATAATTTTAATTAAAAACTACAAGTCATCTTCTTCTCCAGCTTTTAAGTCCTAGAAGGACTTTCACTGCCTCTACTATATTAGTTCTGTCCGTACTGGTTGCTATATAATTGTGTGAAGCACTATATGCTAGACATGGACTAGGGGAGCTAAAATCCTTTACCTCTAATAACAAATATAAACTATTCAACAAATAGTTGATGCGTAAAAACATAAGCTGATATATTTAAGTCGGTTAGTGATAATGATGATGAAAAAAAAAAGAATTGAAAATACTATATGAAATTTTTTTCGAGATAAATTTTGAGGGCGTCCACTATCTACAGTCAATGTCTTCCGTGCAATGATATTCCAATTCTCAACGCAGAGCTGCGCATTTCGGGATATCAATGGAAAAAAAAATAAACACATTTGGCTATTGGTACATCACCTCACTACAAATGTTTTACCAAATATTAAAATTCTTTTACAACTGTTTATGGCATAGTAGCATTACTGGTCACCTCAGTCCCGCCGGAATGTGTACGTTTTAACACCGAAGCGAATAAAAACATACGTATGTACGGTCAACCATTTCAGAAAAACAACTTAATGAATTGGCTTTAACAATTATTAATAAAAGGTAGGTACTTCTAGGATAAAAATATAGTTTAGTTAATAATTTATATTGGCTTGATGCAACAATACGATTAAATCCTTGCAAAATATGAAAAACGAATATTAGCGGACTAGTAATGTAGTATATTAATCGTATTTTTTTTCCTTGTTTCCGAGGTATCCCTGTAGAAATCAACAAAAAAGATATAGGATATAAACTAAAAAGAATGCATTTGCCTAAACACAAAAGTGTTAAATAAAAGACATACATACATTGCACGATGGGTGGGCCACTGCAGTTGTAGGTGAGAAGTTGGGAAGGTAGAATATTGAGAGGAATTTGATTTATATCAATACGCAATAATAAACTATTGTTAACGAAAAGCGATTCGGAGCGGAGAAAAAATCTAAAATAAAAAGAATAACGTGGAACAATGTGCGTCTTCACAACAAATTTTTTTCAAAAAATAATAAAATATTAAAATATTAAAAACCTAATAGGTAATAATTACATTCAAAATGCAACAAAAAAAAGTATCTTGTTATTTTTTTGATTGGAGCAATATATCTGGTAGAAAAGTTGCTCATAGACGAACAAAAAAAAAAAAAAAATCATAATACACCAATACATTCGTACGCTCGAAATCTAAAAAATATGAAATATTTCAAAATTTAAATTTCATGACATTTTCGAATACTATAAACACGGTACAGTCTTTACTATCGGAAAAAAATTTGACAAAAAAAAAAAAAAAACTATCCGATCGATTCAATACAAAACTAACGTTTATTTGAACATAATATTATAATATATATATATATATATATATATTATTTTATATAATAATGAACGAACACGAGCCCATATTGTTCGCGTTTGCTTGTTATTATCTTAGATTCGAGTAAACAATGTACTCGCAATCACGTAGTTGGTGTATGTCATATCTGCCACACATAATGATTCTATAATAGATACAAAACTGATACATATCAGAGAGCGAATACAAGCGAGAGTTGATTGGAGATCTCTGTTTAGCCAAAGTGCTTCGGGCGAACGTCAACAGATTGCTCGCGTAGTACCTATATTACTCGTATTCTATAAGTATGCACAGTACCTGTCGGGCGAATTCTCGAATCTATTTTGTTTGTTCCGTCACATTTGGAATACCTATGGATATTTTTCAAACAATATTCAAGAGAATATTACAATAACATTCGTCGGTATATTTACATAATATTATGTTTGTAACGGGTATCGGTTATGTCTAGTGTATTTCCATCGTCAATACCTATTGTGATTTACAACCATATTTTCATGTTTTCAAATAATAATAAAAAAAAAAAGAGCTGATGCTGGGGATGAGAACGGCCACCGTTGTAGGTGAGAAGTTGAGAAGGTAGGATACTATAGGATATACTATACATAATGTTGGAATAGCAGTCGTGGAAATAATAGTCACAATTACGTTTAACAAACTAGGTACCTTAAAGGTTAGTTATCTAATCAAAAGGTTTTTTCTAAAATAAGTTATTTTACAAATTGTTCACAAATTTCACCCTTGTGAACGTGCAACGGTAACGTTGCACTAAATTTGGGTACGTAGAACGTACGCAGTCGTAAAAAGATCCGTACGCAATAATAACGCACTCGTCGAGAGTATATATTGGGCGCCACTTTGTGGTATACGGAACTTTAAGGTGTACGGAAAGTAAATTCAAACGCCAAAAATATCATAGGATAAAACTTTATTTCACAACAACCGTGTGGCGTCGTCGGCCGGACACTCCGACTCTATTATTGTTTCCTCACGTCGACTCGCAATATTTGTTGTTGCATCATACAACAATATCGACACCCCCCTCCCCCCACTTTACCCCTATTTGTGTAAAATCCCGAATACGCCACTGACCAGTAGGTAGTAATAGTACTAGATGGGTACACGTATAACCATTTCCCAGAAATATTTATACCCAAGTATTATAGGTACCCAATACCCAAATAGGCACCTATGCGTACGCCTATGTGTTTATGAGGTCTGTGTGAATGTAAGATAAATTCGTTTTCCGCTTTACGAAACATGTGTGTAAGCACCGTAGACGTGCACATAGTCAGAAGTGAAAAAAAAAAACAATTTTTTTACACCCGAAAACTCAACTCGAGGATATAATACAATAATATAATAATAATAATAATAATAATAATAATAATAATAATAATAATAATAATAATAATAATAATAATAATATCGTTCAGCGCTGCACTCTCTCTGTAGCTGGTAAATTGTTTTTCGACGTCATTACACTCGACTGGACTAATATCCGTCCAGGCCAGTGACTCGAATATTGTCGTCGGATGAAAAATAAGAGCACTATAACGGGTAATAATAATAACATTATAGTTACGAGAAACACGATGTGGTAATAATAATAATAATAATAATAATAATATTATTGTTAAGAGGACGCTATTTATTCGCAATGATTGTCTCAGCCTGACTAGCTAACGGGCAAATTGTGGCGTTTATTTGGTTGAAATTAAAGTATCAAGTAAACATCTTGTAGCTTTTTTCCAAAATATTTATGAAAATATAAGTTACAGCTATGTTGATGCATCTATCTGAGTACTTAAGTATTGTCTCAATAATACCCGAGTATTTAAAATAAAATCAATAACTAACTATAATACCTATCTACTATGTAATACATAGCTATAGATATATTTTTTTATTTGAAAATCTTCTTTTCGCCTTCATCCCAGTTGTTTAGGCCGGTAACCTTCGTTCTAACTTAACCCGATTCCTCATATCGTCCTATTGTATATCCGCCGTCCTCACAGCATTGTCAATCGCATCTAACCACCTCTTTTTCGGTCTTTCTCTTCCCCTCTTTTCTCCTACGTCAATTTACATTACAATCCCTCCTGTTTCTGATTCCTCTTTTCCCACGACATCACTCCCAAATAATAATCACTCTCATAATTTTGTCCGCTATCGAAACCACGCCCTAGCTCTTATAGTTACTCATACATCATCCTATCTCATCTCATTCTACTTATCCGCTTAAGCATTCTCATTTCTGCTACACTCATTATCTGTTGTTTTTTTTTTTTATTGTCTTCTTACATTCCGAAGCATACAACATAGTAGGTCTCACCATACTTTTGTTAAACTTATTTTTAATTCTCATAAAAGCATTTTTATCTCGTAAAACACCTGATGCTTCTCTTCACTTTATCGAACCATACTTAATTCTAGGTTTCACGCCCTCGTCAAAATTACCGTTCTTTTATACAAAAGATCCTAGGTACCTACTTAAAACTTCCAACATTGCTTATGGCGTCACCGCTTATTTTCATTAACTGTCTTGTCCAGCCAGCCTCTTGTCCTGTTTCTTCAAATTTATAGGTATTCAGAATACCTATACTAGAAGATATACTATGAATAGAATATTATTCTACATACAGATATACTATGTTTTACTTCTACTTATTCTTAATTTCTTTTTTTCGAGTGCTCTACTCTCCATCATTCCTCAAGCTTATTGTTAACTTCTTCCAGGTTTACTCATATCAAGCCTATATAATCTGCAAACATGCACCATTGTACCTCACCTTGTATTTCCATCTTAAAAACATACATTACAAAAGAAATTAGATAAGACCGACCCCCTATGCACAACTACTTTAACCCCAAAATCTTCTGTTCTTCCACACATACTTTTTACACTCTTATTGACCATTCATACATAGTAAATAGGTACCTATCCTCTATTAAAGTAATACTCGTAATACAATATACAATTTCCTTTTCACATTAACGCCCACATCAGAACCTCTCTCGGCATTCTGTCTGCTGTTATACTTACGCTTTCTCTAGATCTATAAAAGTCATACGTAGATTTTTTTTCTTCTCTCTATACTATTTTATTAGGTATCTGTCTTACACAAAACACCGGTTCCATCGTCGATTTTCCTGGCCTAAAATCAAACTGGTTCTTTGATATCGATGTTTCACTTCTAATTCTCTTAACTATAATTTTTTCCACATCTTCAAACTTACCATGGCTCATCAATTGAATTCCTTTATCATTTTCACTCTTTTACATTTCCCTTTCTATTAAAAAAGGTATTATAAAATTCTTTCTCCACTCGTCTGTCATTTTGCCGTCTACTAACACCTTATTGAAAAACAATTTTAATCAGCCTATGTCTAGCTCCCTTATTGACAATATACTAATAAAATTAATTTAAATAAACTACGGGATATTTTCAAAAATATTTTTCTCTCTATATTTTGAATCGAAGTACGTAGATGGGTGTTGTGATAATTTTACTACGATTATAACGTACGATAATAGCATTGATTATAGAATGGAATAATAGAATATTCCATAATAAATGATGACAGGTAGACAGACACACAGGTGTAGTAAATAATGCATGACCATTTAAGAAACGCTATCTGTGCGAGAAGAACCGACGATGCTTGACGGCCGACAGATGGCGTCCCAGTTGCGCACACAGAATATTAAATAATATTGATCATTATTTTATGGTCGTGATCACGGCTTCAGAGAGATATTGGTAGTTCGCCCGCGACTCTCGCACCGCGAATCGTGATAACAGGTAGACTTGTTGATCTGCCGGGCTGTTCCGTTCCTCTTTCACGCTGGTTGCCGGACTTCCTGTCCCGGAATTGTGGGCTGCTGTGCGTCGAAGAAGATGCTGTGAGTACGCAGCGTGACAATGGCCACGACCGCGGCCACCGCGTTATTCGCGTTATGTTTCCATCTGGTGGCGGCCGTTTCGGACCAGAAGACGTCTCTCGACCAAGGAAATTCGTTAAGTAGTGTAAGTACCCAACCTCTACCATAGTATATTACCCCATATGTCTGTTACGGTGCTGTGCCCGTAGACGCTTGACGTACGTTAAATCCGGTCAACTTATTCCAGGGTTCAATAAAACTGCAATCTTTATCAATTAAAAATTCCAAGAAAAAACCCACCACCGCTGGTCTTTATGTGCTTTAAATGGGATTTTTCGGGTTCAAATACGTTAAAAAGTAAAAAAAAAAAAAAAAATTATAGATTTTATGTTGTATTTATTAAAAATCTAATAAGACACAAATTCGTCTCATAGTACGTTTTCAGTGCATATGTATACGCATTCCATTATTTTTTTGCGCATAAAGTTCCAAGCCCTGTATATAATATAGGTACACATAAAAAAACAACTTAAAAAACTAAAATAAAATGTATTTTTTCTTAAACAATTACGATTCATTGTTAATTTTACCGGGTTTTATTAATGGACTAATTGACTTAGTATTTTCCACTTTAAACTGTCTGTTCTACTATCCACTTTAGTGAATCAAGTGCATGTGCTCAGGGGTGGAGTGGCCTGCCAGGCAAATAGAAAAATACCCTATGCCCTGGCTAAGAGCTGTGATGTAGTTTAGGCATTTTTACAGTGCTAATCTAGTGAGAAATGTATTGGTTTTATTATGTGTGTTTTTTTACAATCACATTTATTTTATGTTTTTGTCTGTAAACTACATTTCTACTAGAAATATTGCCCAGATCATAAACTATAGGGATGGTTTTGTAGTGGCAAATGTTGTCTAGCTGGTGCATTTGGGGAAGTCGTTTAATCATTTTATTTTTTTGAATTTTTTAAAACATTAATACTTATTTAGTTATAAATTATCTTTTGTCAAAATTGAACTAAATAAGTATACCTATATTCTACTTTTATGTTTAAAATCGTCCAATGCACGTTATTTAAGTGTCTTACAGAAAAACAATAATATCATTGGTATTGTGTAGTGTGCCTGTAGTAGGTGTATTGGCTGAAATGGTATGGAATGTTATTTGAAGGTATTTGATGGAGAAAGTTTCTACGAATGTATGGTCTAATAATTTGTATTTATACTTCTCTAAACAAAAATGTTAAGTTGGTACATTATTAGGTACAGCTATCAAAATGGTATCAAGAAATGGTGAAAATCAAAATGGCCTGGAAATAAATATTTGTACTGGTAAGAATTTTCAATTTTTTACTCTGCCCCTGGATGCGCTAAGATTTTCTTTTCAGTGTGAACCAAAAGTAGTAAGGTATCTAAGTTATTATTATTATCCTACTGCTGTTACTATTTATTGATAAAATTCATAAATACGTATAAACATTATCAATACACACGACACACGTTAATGAGGATGTATGGTTAGGTGCATCCCCTAGTTCATGCTTGGGCTTAACAGTGTCAACTGTTATACTAACATAACATACCTACCCTTATAATGAACTGGCTTTGATTAATTTTTACAACATTCAATGCGTATAGATTTGAGTCTAATCAGTCAACCATAGAGGATAGGCTCAGTCAAACATAATATTATATATCTATTTTAAATGTCCTTGTTCTGTTTTGTGTAGAGTCTGCTATGTATATTTAATGGATCATTTGGTAAAAACTTTCTCTGATATTTACTTTCTTTTATTTTTTTGTCATTATTTTTCAATTGAATAATTATATAAATTTGTATTTAGATTTATGGTCAGAATCAAGTGTATAGTACCAGTACAGTGGATAGTACTAATGCAGTGGATAATACCGATACATCGACTGATGTGTTTAATCAATTTCGTAAGTATTTATATTCTTGCATTTTTTTTATTTTTTAAATAAATTATCCTTTATTAAATTATATTACAAAAATAATTCAACGTGAAAAATAAAAATATATTGCACTAAACAAAACAGGTATTTTATAAGTAGTAATCAAATAGTGTTCATTTAAATCTTGTTTGACTATTTAAAACCTGCTTGAATACTGATTACTATTCAATATTATCATACTCTATTAACCACATATTATCTACAATACCTATACATTATGATATTATAACATAAACTCTTTTAAAAAAAAAATGTCTTAATATTAAATATTAAGACATTTTGGGGATGGTTTAAGGGTTGTAATATATATTGAATATTTTCAATCTAAATTAAGGAAAAAATTATAGGGATGTTAAATATTGTTGTACGCGTGTCGTAATATTCATTATTGATTATAATATAATTATTTGGTATTTTAATTAAATGATTATTTGGTATATTGATTGGTAATTTATTAAATTAGTTGATTAAGTGTAATCCAAATTAATTGATTATTATGAGAAAAAAATAATCGCGCACTCCTAGTTATTTCCGGTTTAGTGTGTAATCTACAATATACAATTTTATGTTTGATTGGATTGAGATGTATGTTATATATAACTTAAAAAACGGGAAAAAAAACGAAATTGCAAATGTAGAGAACAACTTTCTATACCTACCAGCTTCTTTCACCAACTTGAGTGGGGCTGTATGCCTCTCTGTGTCCACCCCTTAGGGGCCACTTACCTACCCTAAATTTCTAACCTGTTACTGTTGCAATGAAGATAATATATTCTGAATTTATATGAATGATATATGCGCATATGCAAAGTTAGTTTATATCAAACTTTTAATTTATAATAAACTTTGTTTTGTTATTCAAAACCATGCAGGGTGGTAAACAAAACAAAAGTAAAATATATTATCATATTATATCATAATATCGAACTTCGAAGCGCTATAATTTTGAAAAGAAGTCTGCTGCAAAATACCTGATTGTATAATCGCAATCAGTGTCCAAAAATACAGTATATACAGTTTTGAAGCTCCATATGAACCGTAAAAATATTGTGTCCGTTTATAACCAAAAAACTCTAAAATTTCAAATAACAATTTATTTCTAAAAAAAATTTTGGAATATGTCAAAATTATACTACATCTAGAAAATACTAATACAAGTATTCTATAGTATTCTAGTCTACTCTCATTATTCACTGATTTAATACACCAAAAAATCAATTTTAACAAAAACCTGTTGTATAAATATTCCTATATTTTTTTTCTGTTTTCTTTATTAAAAAAATTGCAAATTAACTACAAAATATGCATTTCCCAATACACTAGATAGACAAAACTCGCTACTAAAAACTAATCTTGATGTTGATGATAGTAGCAAGTTTACTAATCAGAAACTAGTTCAGAAGGATAGATAGAGAAAATAAAAAACCATATATTTCATAGTAAAATGTCTAAATTTGTTACTTGGCTTTGAATCTGTTATAATGGTATTAGTTGTTATTTATTTTTCAATCAAATAATATTATATAATTGACATACCTAATAGTAAAAAAAAAAAAATAATAATAATTTATTAACTATTATGTGATTTAAAAATTATATATTTGTAATTTTTACAGATTTGCATGAATCACCCGAATGGCCTTTTCCACGAAAAATTGATAGCAGTATCGGTCAAATTTCTGGTGTTTCTATAAGCAAAGACAATCTTGTGTACATATTTCATAGGGGTGATCGAGAATGGAACGACACTACATTCCTTTATAACAATGTATACAGAAATCAAGCGAGAGGACCCATAACTGAACCTGCAGTACTTGTGCTTGATTCAAAAAATGGTTCAGTAATTAATAGATGGGGTAGTAACAGGTATAACAAAATCAATAAATTATATCCCCTCCTTGTAATAAACATGAATATTAAAATTATAATTTTGTTATAGATTTTATATGCCCCATGGCATTACCGTTGATCATGATAATAATGTTTGGCTTACTGATGTTGCACTTCATCAAGTTTTTAAGTTCAGCCCTAGTTCAGAAAATAGTACTTATAATTTAATATTGACTTTGGGTACTTCATTCGAACCTGGACAAGATTTTGACAAGTTTTGTAAACCTACATCAGTGGCTGTTGCTACTAGTGGTGAATTCTATGTAGCGGATGGATATTGTAATTCACGTATTGTTAAATTTTCTGCTGATGGACGAGTACTGTTGGAATGGGGTCGATCTACTAAAGTCTCAGGTTGATAAATAATGGTTACTTATCGTAAATAGATGCGGCCTCTTTAATTTAAATAATAAATGAACATGTCCTTTCATAAGTATATTATAAAATTTATTTTATAGGACCAAATAGTAGACAATAGTAAACAACTATAAAACTTATCATTAACATTGACTTTAGACTTTTTTTCTAGACATACATATTAGTCTTTTAAAAAGTGACAATAAGAAAAAATATACAATAATATTATACATTATTTTAAGATTTTTTCCATGACTGAAAGTGTTTATTATTAATATTAAAAATTTAATTTGCATAATATATAAATATTTTACAATAAATAATGTATAAAAACAAGTTTTATTGCATTTTACTAACAATTAAAATGTATTTTTATTTGGTCTACAAACTAAATATGTCTATCTATGATGTTTTAACTAATATAATTTTCATATAAGTTTTTATTTAATTTTAGGTGACATGACTGTGCCTCCTTACCAATTATGGATTCCACATGCATTAACATTAGCTGAAGATAAAAAAATAATTTGTGTGGCTGACCGCGAGAATGGCAGAGTAGTGTGTTTCAATATGAATAATGGAACATTTGTATTTGAAATTAATCCTCAATTATTTCAACGTATATTTAGTGTTGCATATACACCAGTAGCCGGTATGCTTACATTGTATTTTATTACTTTATGCCAATTTTAAAGTAAAAATGATTTGATTTCTACATATATTAAAGTAAAAGCAAATAACTTGGCATTTAACTGCAATAGAAGAAATAATTATAATAATTTTATAAATATATTTTAATTTTAAAAAATGAGCTTCTCGTGTACATGTGTATATACAGGATGATTCAAAACGTATGCTACAGTTATTTTACTATACAAATATTCAAAATAGTTTTTTGATTTATAAACATCGAAAAGAATGTATACATTTTTTATTTGTTTTAAGTCTTTTTGTGGTTAATTTTGAAATTCAAATGGGAACTAATACATTTTTGCAAATGTAATGTGAAGATATTTTTTTAAATACATTGTAATGTTTGAATAACATTAATTTATTCAAGATTATAATTGAGAGTGGCTTAAAGTTGATACAAATACTGCTATTACTGGTTTGCGAAAGTAGCGTGGCACATTGTGTGATAAATAATGTCATTAGCTATTTGTTTGCGTGCAGTTACAATGCAATTTCTAAAAACTAAATCATTCTCAAGTACAGAGTTTTGAATAAATTAATGTGATTCAATCACTAAAATTTATTCAAAAAACGTATAGTGTTCCCATTTGAATTTCAAAAGTTGACCTCCAAAACCACTTTTATAATACTGTGAAAAAAAAATATAAATTATTTTAGATGTTTATAAATATAAAAGACTTGTGTATTGTATATTTTAATATTTCTATTTTGGTATATTTGAAATATTTATGTTCTAATATTTGCATAAAATGATTGAAATATAAGTGTTGAATCACATAGTATATAATATATACTATATTTCATGTTTTATAAACAATGTTCAAGACATAAAGCATTTTCTTATTTTTATATGTCATTAAGTCTAACAAAAAGTTATGGAAATATATATCATGTCATTAGTTAACTTTTTTTGTTTGCATATTTTTTACTAGTTATTTCTTTCTACTTCTATTTTGTAAGCGTTTATTTCAGGACTTTAATGAAGTTCTTTAAATACTTTTTTTTTATTGATTTTAAGCACTGTAGGTCTCGAACTCTGTTAATAATGCTCTAATTTTATATTTTTAGGTGGCTTATTTTATGTTCTTAATGATAGAAATGCTGATGTAAATACGATTCCTGAGTCACTCGCACAAGGATTTGTGATCAATGCTACAACATTGGAAGTAATTGGACGATTCCATCCTGGAGATAATGAGTTTGTAAGGCCTCATGATATGGCTGTAAGCCCAGATGGGTCATCTGTTTATGTAGTTGAACTAATAAGGTCTCATGTACGGAAATTTGTTTTGGGTAAATAAAACTTAGTGTTTTTGTTTGTTTTAAAAGTATTTTAATGATATAATTTATAATGTATACCTATTATAAATAATCTGTACTCTTTCTATGTATGTGTTTAAGAGGACATGATACCTGCATTTACTTTCTCACTCTAAATTAATGGGCAACATATCAAAATTATGTTGCTTAGAACATAAATTGTAAAATTTAGGTTAAAGTTCCATAGAATTTAGCAAGTATTTATTTTTTTTTTTTGAAATGGGGTCCAGGCTAGTGTTCATTTTGTCAAGTATAGTTGAGTATGTACCAACATACAAATTTCACTAGGAGATATTTGAATATTTACAGCATACATTGAAATGGCAGAGTTTCAATTTGCTTTTAAATTCTAACCGAAACAATGAATGTATTGGTTTTTATATGATATGTGCTTAATAATATTTTGTATCTGTTAACAACTTTTCTACTGGAAATCTTGCTTCAATAAAAAAAAAAAATCTTTTAGTGTATTTTGTTGATACATTAGGAATTCATTTTTTTATTTTCCTTATAGTTTTCTTTATTATTAAAACAACTGTGAAAATGTACTGTTTCATTAATTTTCAATTTTTGTTACAATACAGTTAAAAACAATCAGATGAGTAACTTGGACGGCGCTGCTATTTTAGTATACAATTCATAAATTCATAAATTAATATGTGTTTTGTAGTAATCTGTTTTTAAAAATTGCTTTATTGAGCTTTTCTCTGTACAAGTATCACGTTCTTTATACATAATTTTTGTGTTAAGGTACTCAAATAGTAAAAACAAAATAATAAATCCATTTTTGTAAATTCAAACCATCAATACAATATTATTGTAATATGATAGCTTATCAGAAATAATTGAGTTTTAAAATATATATACCTAGTTTTTACATTTATTTTTTTTAATAAATCAATAGAGTACAATCAAAAAAATATAGGAATAAAGTATTTGTCTAATTATAAATTAGAATTCAACACATTTTAAAACAACTTAAAGAGGAAAGTATTTTTAGTTTTTATGGACCTTACTTTTTCTAAAAATTGTTATACAATAAAGTTATATTGACATTTTAAAATAGTTGTAATTTTTTTGTACAGCATGTTTTTAGAAATAATCATACAGCGCTCTGGAATATTCTCTTTTTAGATAATAATTTTGATCTAAATGCTACATTTTATGTTCTATGTAACCTAATTTTGTTGCTATATACACTGTTAGTGGGACTGAGATAGTGAATACAGGTATTGTGACCCCTTAAGTTTGTGTAGTTATTAGTACATAGATACATAAATATACATGTTATGTTTTCAAAACATAATATGTATAACAATAAACAATTACAATTTTTAAAAATGTTTCAAATAATAAATTACTATTACATGATAACTATAATAATAAATCAGTAATAATAACGAATATAACTTTTTTTTAGTTGGTAAAAGCAAAATATATATTTCTTTTGGGTATCACAGCAATTTATTGTGATTTTAGAATAACATTATTTGTTAAGATCATTCTCGCACTACTGTATATAAAATAAACATAAATGAAACTAAAAAAAAGATATATATATATATTTATTTATCTGTTGTGTGAAACTAAATTTCTAGTGGTGTTTATTATTTACATTTGATACATTGGAGTAAGATTTCTGTTACAATAAATTTGCTCATAGTGTAAAAAAATTTATATACATAGATATCTATATATTTCTCACTACCGTCCAAATCTAAAATATTTGTTAAAATTATTTGTGTATACATATAAAACACATATTAAATTTTAATCGGTTCATTGCAATATTTTTTGATTGTGACATTATTTTATCAATAAATTATTTTTTATATGTATACAATGTGATACATTTAAGTTTTTCAAGATTTTTCTCTTTTGAAAATAGTTTATACTTCAGAGATAATGAGTGTACTCACTTAAACGAATCATCTTGTTTATATTGTGTATATTATAATTCATAATACCTAGAACCTGTTCAAAGATTCTATTCAAAAAAATTATACGATTTTGTTATAATGATAACTAATTTATATTTTATGAACACGTGTATCCGTGTAGTTATAATTACACAAACATTACAATCATCTGTAGTATATATTTTTCTGTTTACTATACACAAAATAGAATTCTCTGATTGCACTATTACTGTAATGTTATTTACTTACGTTTCAGACTCAGATATTCAAAATCGATTTATAAACAAAAGTTATGTTCCGTTACATTTTTCAGAACATGAATTAATGTTATATGATTATAACATATTGAAAAGTAGGTTTAAATTACAAATGAAATGTAACCATTTCAGATAATCCATATAAATCAGAGGTCAGCAATCCCCTAACATTTTTTTTTTTTTGTTAATTTCATATTCAACAAAATTATGAAAATAAATATAATAGTAATAATATATTGATGTCTCTTATTGACATCTCTATTTAAATCTTATAATTTATATTTTATCATATTTCTATAAAACATTTTGCAAATTGTACAAAAGTGAATTGTAGGTTGCTGATCATTGATCTAAATGATTAAATATATTGTAGTGCGTGATGTTATTATGTCATTAGATCCTAATTATTTTTTTGAAAATAACTGCGGTTAGCATTTTATTATATGAGATTTATGTATTTATAAATATTATTATCTGTGTTCAGTTATTTATTTTTAAAATAGCTGAATAAAGTAACCCTTTTAAGCATTTCTATTTTTCTAATAATTATGTTTGAAAACATTGCAAAACTAATATTTCACATACAAAATCTCATTCTGCTTAGAATCAAAATAAATTATCATCATACACAGTTACGTGGCGAATAGAGAGTGCTTTATACCCTTTAAAATTTTTGCTAGCCCCGCTCTAAAAAAAAATTTATAAATTATTTAACTTTTTTATTGTAAAATATTGAAAAACATGTAATAAATCAATTGAAAACTGAAAGTATTAATACATTTACTACTGAAAACAGGAAAATGGTTTTATTATAGATAGTTACTTATTAATTTGTATTTATATTATTATAATTTTATTTAAGGAATTTGTAACAAAGTTTTTTTTTTAAGAAAAACTAGGTACATAATATTTTAATTGAATACTATTAGTTATACAATGTGCAAAACAATAAAATAACAACTCAAAATTAATGTTGACACATCAATTTTGAGCAGTATGATGACAGTAAAGTAATAAATAATCTTGAAATAATTCTATGAATACAGTTTCCAATAAATTATAATTTTATTTTAGTATTTTTAAAAAATTAAATTACAATTTACTAATTGTTTCGTTTTATATAACTGTAGCAATTATATATGATGAGAAATTAAAATATTTTCTGTAAAAATGTTACCAGATAATTCAGGAAGTTTTATTTTAATTATGTTTTACATTTTAAACAACTGCTGTATGTAACAAGACCTGCTGGTTATCATGATGGTAGATTATAAAAACAGTCTGTTTTTATTTCATTTTTTTTTTTTTTATGAAGATCCTTTAAATAATTTTAATTATGTTTTTATTTTACAAACTTTGGTGTGAATGATATGGATATTTCATTTAAACTTTTAAATTTTTATTATAAAATCATTTTCTTGCTCTAGAATATGAATTTATTATATTTATCATTTATATTATTGTTGCATTTTAATTATACCAAATAAACTTAATTACGCTTAAAAGCAGCAACTTAGAAAAAAATGCACTTATATTTTTACAATTTACTAAAGATTAATCTCACTAAGTTAAAACTCGAGAGGGTTTACACTTTTAATTTTAATTTTTTATTTATTTCTTTTTATAATACTGATTTTTAATTATATTGTTTTTATAATTTTCAGATTGTTCCAGACTTAGAGAAAATTCTGGCAAAAAGATTTTAGTATTTATGTTAGTGATTGCTGTGGGTTTATTTTTCACTGCTGCCATATTTGTAACCGTTTTGATATACACAAGAACTAAATCAATGGGTAATTACTAAAATAACTTTAAATAACATTAGATGCCCATTTTTTTTATTAGATCATTCTAATTTATAATATTACATGTATTGCAATTATCAAACACTATAGATTAAAACATTTATGTAGGTGTTGAAATTTTTGTCCAGAGTTAAATTGACAAGAAAGTGATTCTTATACAAAGAATATAAAATAATAAAGTACAAACAAAATTATTAAAATGGTTAATACTCTTAAATAAATATATAAATAAAAAATGTATATACTATAAAAATAAAATAAATAAATGAATCACTATAATATAATTATTATATTACACTTATCATAATACTCCAGGTGACATATTGGTTCATTTATTTTTATTTTTATTTATACATTTTTTATTTCTATATTTATTTACTTTAAAGAATATAAGACGTATATTAGTTTTTTTTTTAAAAAAAATAATTTATTAAAAATATAAATACAAGTAAACAAATTGATTTATCTACCTTATTTAAAAGAAGCTTGAGCTGAAGGCAGAGATAAAGAGTTATTTGCTATAAATCACAACTAAATATATTTACAATGATAGCTACAAAAATAATATAAAATATATCATTTTTTATGTTTACAATTTAGGTATACAAATTTGGGTAATGATTTATTTATATTAATATTATTCTTGACTCCAAGATATTTCTTAAAATTATTATTTAGATAATAGAAGTAAGTAGGTTCTAAATAATCTACAAATTTCTGACCTATACTTTTTTTAATATAATTTACATTTAAATTGTATCTTTAAGATTTATGTTTACGTATATTTGAATACAATTGAGAGGAATTTTTTAAAATGAAGGATATAGAAAGTTTTTTATATAGAAAATTTAAAGGAAGTGCACATAGTTATTTAAAATTATCAATAGTAGATCCGACCCGATCTTTTTTATTAAGGTAGATACGAACAGCACTATTTTATAATAAAATAAGAGAAAGTGATTCTTATACAAAGAATATAAGACATTATTAGTTTTTAAAACCATACAATAAGCAAATAATTACAGCGTGTCCAATGCCCTTGTTAAGAAGTACCACTAAATGTTTCAGCTAAAGAATACCTGGTATTCAGACTGAATGGATCAAAATAAGGAATAAGTTATTTGATAAGTTAACTGTTTTCTGCATAAGTATAATACATGTTTATGGTTAAAACTTAATACCCCATATGTACTAACGAAATTTATTAGCCATTGTGTTGTAATTGTTTTTTTTTTTATGTGTAAATCATGTTTCAGTTCACCGCGAAGACATGAATTTTGGTCGTTGGCAACCTCGGACACTGGTAACAGCTGATGGATTTAATCTGGGTAATATATTCAATAAGAAACAACGGGCTGGTTTTGAAAAACTCGCGACCGTCGAAGTTAGCGAAGATGATGATGATGGTGATGACGACATCAATGATCTGAATGTGAGAGCTTAATTATCAAAATAATAATATAAATTTCATTGTCTGCAGAACAATAATAACTATGTCGCATTAGTCTGTTCAATTTATTATTTTCGCTATTATCTATTATTATAATCTGTCGTCAATCCAGGGATTGATTATAGAAGTTTTTGGACCTAGCAGCTTTGTCTGCAAAACATTACTCTGTAAATTGGTACCTAACCTAATAGATGCAAATAGAGGGTCTTTGGAGCTGAGCCCCTTCGGGTCCCCCAAAGTCAATCATAGTCCTCACCAAAATGTTACATAGTATTCACTATTCACAAGGACTATCCCCCCCTAAGTTAAAAATAAAACTATTTGCACCAATGGGTAACCTTTTTTTTTTTTTGGTCATTGATCATTATTATACTGCATGTTAACTTAATGTTATAAACGATTATCAAAATATAATTAATTTAAAGTGTCATATTTTGTATATTACGCTAGTACTCACCTACTATCCTTAATAAATGATATTAACACTGTTGCCTCTTCTCCTCGTTTCTACTACACTTTTTTTAAATTTTAACGCGGCCATTCTCGTCCGGAAAATAATGAGGAAAATTGGGCCGCCAGTCCGGGTACCGAACCCCAGTCTCACTTGCCAATTGATTGTTCTATCAGAGAGCTACGTATATAAGTGGGCAAAAACCATCGATGTTTTTGTTCGATGTATCGATGTTCGCCCCGATGTTTTGAACCTTTTGTATTTCTATTTTATAATTGGATTTCAGACTTTCAGAGCGAAGTGATTATCTATATGTTTTATGATGTACGCTCTACTTTCATCGCGTTTTGTGTAGTGTACTTATACGGACGTTTTGATTTGTTGAACCATACTTTTGACATCACTTGCAGACAAATGAATCACTATAATATAATTATTAAGGGCCGGAGTTACGATTTGCGAGGCCCTGGGCATATTTATTTTTACGAGATTTTTTTTTTTTTTTTTTTTTTGTAGCTTAGTCCATACCACTACGCCCACTAAATACTTTTAATAATACCTTACACTTAACCAGTACAAAGTTACGCGTATATTGATCTTCCAATATATTATATAATTTTAAAGAGGACATTATTAAACTTAGCAATGTGATTAGGTACTCCTAATACCATTGGCCATTACTGTCCGAATAAAATAAAATAAATTATATTATGAAATAACAAAAATTACAATTGCTTAAGAGAAAAAAATATAAAAATATAATACTGAGAACGGTTAGTAGGTATTTGTTAGAATTTTATTATATTTTTTTTTTTTTTCGATTTGTTTTCAAAAACTTTATTTCCGTGTTTAGACATTAGGCTTTATACCTGGATTTATGTGTAATACCTACCCCGCAGTTAGTGTATTCTGTTTTTTTTTTTTTTTTTTTTGTGCAAAGTGACACGGCTTACCTGTATTATTTGCGTAAGTACCCGAATTCTACACAGAACGTTTCGAAATTGTTACGTCTCTATTTCACTAGACATAATAATAATAATAATACCTACAACATATTATACCTAATTTAATAAAGCCACTACATTTAACAATTACCTGCAGTTCTGTACTCCGATCAAAAGTTTGTGACTTATTTAAATTTTGTAATTCGATTTACGTTTGTAATCAATTATTCAAAAATGTTACCGAAATGAATAGTTAGCTTATGTCACAGCGTATTCTATGCTGGCTAAATATTTCGAGTAAAAAAAAAACTTTCTGAACTTTTTGTAAAATTATGAAAATATGTCAATCGTTGTTAAAATTGATTAATTATTGCACACCATATACTGTTATATTGTGTTTTGTTATAACTTTATAAGTTAAAACCCATAGACTTTTTTGGGCCATATTATTATACGAAACAAATACCTTCCTATCTAACCGCTGAAGAGGGTCCACGGGTATACGGTAAACGCATCTCACTTTATACATACAACAAAAAAAAAAAAATTAGTTTAGTTATTTCCAACTATCTAACAATAAAACTTCTTAAAAGTGAAAAAGGACATTTTTCGACAAAATGTATATTATGAATAGGTAACCAACCTGACCTATATTGTATTTTTTTTTTCCGTGCAACTGTTTAAAAACTACATATGTATTAGGCATGTAAATTTACTGAACACAACAGTTGCAAATAGTGCAATTTGACTACATTACAGTTCGATAAATCGTTTCGATTATCGTTTTCTTTTCATTGCAGCCGGACATAGATATTCTACATAAAATACCTAGATAGCAAACTCGTATCTATTATTGAAGTAAGACGCCATTTACAGGTTGGGCAATACGACAGTGAATTGTTGATATTTAACGGTCATTGTTCGTATTATTACACTGTGTCCATTACGATATAATAAACATCGAATCGATAATACTTATATCGATGTCGATTATATCTTATTTTGCAATCGGTTTTGCCACGCGTGTAAATGGTTGACGACTTCAAATTTTTGTCAACTCGGTATACAGAGTTTGCTGTCTATTTATTTTTTATATCTGTGCAGCCGGCATCGTATTTATCTGGTACAATCTGCAAATCTACAATACAATTTAAAAATAGAAACATTTTTTTTTATTACTTTTAGGAGGAAATCAAAATAAATTTTATCAAATTTTTGATAAGAAACAAATGATAAATAATGAATTCGTGCTCCGTGCCGTAAATTTATCCGTTTTCCTTTTACGTCTTATTCCGGTTATCCCGATTGTTATGAAAACCCATTGGAAAATCAAAAAACGACATCTTTAATGTACCAACGAGATCCAAAATGTAAAAAAAAAATGGTCGCTGTAATTTTTTGATTGAAGCAACAGTTCTTTGTTGAAAAGTTGTTTACAGACAGAAAAAAAACACATCATAGTATGCGTCTCTCGCTACGCTCAGAATCTAAAACCAATAATTGTAAATCGTAAAGAAATTGTGAACTTTTTGGTTATAATATTAGAAATCACTTAAATAAATGCAATTTCGACTACCTATACCATTATAATTCAGTGACATAAGTGGTTTGTACAGACAATGATAACAGTAAATCATTAGGTACGAATTCTTTTTCATATTCTTAGTGGAGCAAATAATGTATTGGTTCATTTTTGTTATGTGTGTGTGAGCAATTTTTCCACAATAAATCTTAATCCAATACTTATTATAATCATATTTTAAAATGTAGTCGATTTTTTCAAAAAACGCCGATCTGTCAAGGATATCAAGTCGAAATTACGTACAGTTTCAACTATATATGGAAGTATCTATTTAAAAATGTAAAAATACCAATTTAATGTCTTTACACAATATGTAGGTGTTAGATGATAACACACTTCTCTGTATATTAAATCATCATTTATCAGTGGGTCCTAATTTTAATCCGTGCATGTGTGCAACGGTATACAGCCGGGGACCGGTGTATCGGCTATACGTACGGCCGTTCGCGAGCCCCGGGCGGTTCGGGGCGAACCCCGGACGCGTATTCGGCGCATCAAAGCGCGGCCCGTGCAGCTCCAGCTTCCCGGTTCGCTTAATCGTCTGTTTACGGTTCAGTCGCCGTCGGGCGGGTTGAACCCCGCAGGCTATCTAACCACTGTCCAACGAAACTCGTAGACCCGTCCGGAGCCCCGTCCGCACGACGCCGGCCGTGGCCGGCGTCGGGGTTCCCGTTCGGCGCCCAGCTAGGTCGGCACCGGGGATGCTTCGAGAACCGCCCGGACCGCCTTTCGTGTAGACGTCAAAAGTCGGACACGTTTCCACGTAATAGCACAAGCTCCGTCGCCAGATAGGTAAGTGGGCTGACCGGAGGCATCCGACGACGCGACCCGACGGTCGGGGCGCGAATAGATCACCGGTCAACCGCGCGGAGCGCCCCGAACACCGTAACTTCGTCACTCGCCGGATACGACCTCGGTTGGGCGAGCGCCGCCGACACTCGCCTACCCAACGAGAATTTACACGTGTTGGCTTCGCGTCACGGATAAGTCCACGACGCTACGAGTATCCAGCGCCACGGATAGGCGTGCCTGTGCAATCTAACAAGACCGGCGGATAAAGCAGCTCTCCCCCGTCCCCCAAACGCCGTAGTTGTTATAGTATGCTATTTTCTTGGAGCTGTTGTAATAAAATATATACCGGTTTTCGTCGATGAAAATAATTTCGCTCTGTCCGAAATTAAAGTGTGGATCCGTCACGGCCATTCATCGACATAGTTTTTAGTGTTTTTTTAGAGGCAGTTGTTTCTGAGATATTCAGAAGATATTTGGAAGTTGGACGTCTAATGTATGTTTGACAAAATACTTGAATAACTATAGAAATGACTATATAAATGATTGATTATTGGTAATGGATAGGACGTCCCCATTATGAATAAATGCCCACGGGGTAGCGTTCCTGAAGTATAAGCCCCCATAGATACCACCATCACGGGCGTCCCATTGTGTGTTCGTACAATATTTTTAAAATACATTCCTTGCTTGTGATAATATTAAAATTGTGTGTCAATTTTATCCTCGTTTTCTGTACAGGTAATTCCCTTAAATGGATTACTCCGAGTTGGTACCATGGTATATAATGTGACAAGTTTTTATGTTTTACACTACCCAGTTTCCTATCGTTTAAATAACAATATATTTTATAATCTCTTTTTTTTTTTTTTTTACGTACCTGCATTATCTGAAATATGTATAAAGAAAAATAAATTAACTTTTGAATACTTTTCATCGGTCTATAATATTATTAAAAAGAGCTCTTAAAATTTTTTGTCTTAAATTTAACGACGTTTGTTTCACAGCTATATAGTTATTATGGTGAAATTTAATGATTCGACTTTTTATATTCATTAACCTTTTTTTTAAAACAGAAAACTTTAGAAGTTTATGTAGAGCGTTGGTTTAAATTTACTGATATATATGCGTCTACATCGAAAAAAAAACTCTTTAATGAAATAAATCTAAAATTAATGAATAGGTGTATAATATTAATCATTGCAGCTTTCTTACTTTTTCTCTGTAAAATGTAATATATTATAAAATATTTAATGTAATACACTGCACGTACCTAAGTATAAAATGCGGATAAATTCGAATTTAAAATAGGTACTTGCTTACCAAAATGTTACTATAATATAGAATGGGAAAAATTGTCAATGTAATATATCCGTAATTCTGCCAGGGCTGCTTATTACATGTATACACAAATATACGTTTACACGTGAGATTAAGAATCACGCGCTGAAGACGGTGTATTTAAAAATGCACGTAATTCACGGACACCTGCCTACAAATGAAATGATGATAAAAATATACGTGAATCAATAGTTAAAACAAAATTGATAATTGTTTTTAAAGATAAATAAAACTCGAAAAGTACCGACAGGTAAGTACGGTAGTTTTTACACTATAGTGGTTTTTTAGCCGCCGGAATATGTTCACATAAGGAATGTTCTAAATAAAATATACGATATGGAAAAATTTTGCACTAGAATCACGTGTGATTTTAAACAATATTTGTGAATGGTAGATAATGATTGAGCGATAAGAAAAAAAACAAGCACGATCATAGCCCGAAATTAAATCGTCGAATTCGCGGATTTTGCACATTCACGTGTACGTTATCAGGGGGATTCGCGTGGCACGTGAAACCATGAATACCAAACAATAATTATGGGAACAGACTATTATCACGTCACGCGGGTTAACGTGCTATCACGGTACATCACGTCATGCGGGTAAAAAGTGTGTAGACCGTATGGACTACGGCCGTAGAATACGCAGTATTATCAGAACCACACCGAAGTCACGTCACGCGTGTCGAGTCACGTTATCAACCTCACGCGTGACAGCACGGTTTTATGTTCCGGATGTTTTCACATTTGTGACTCACGCGACATTGCGCATTCTATCCATTCTTTTCGTAGGTATTCTACTGTTCCCACGTGTTTATATTTCGTTCTAATTTGTTGAACATTTAAAAATGGAAGAATTAATCAAAAAAGTACGGGAACATGGTGTTTTATACGACCACGGTTCCCATGATTACCGCGACCAACATGTTCGTCAAACTGCCTGGGAAGAAATTGGACGAGAGCTACAAATATCAGGTAACTATAATTGTTATAATAAATTATTATTGTACTATATTATGATTATATATCATACCCGATAATAATACTGTTACTGGGGACGGGTGGGGCCATTGTTATAGGTGGGTAGTGAGTAAGGCGAGATACATGGTGTTATTTAATTTGTACCTGTAACCGACGATAAACCATTGATAACGAAAAATGATTCGGAGCGAAGTTTGGTTATAACCACCCGGTTTGAAAGGCAGTGATATTTACGATTTTCGTCAAAATTTCATTTTAAAATTTATATACATAAAAAAAAAAAATACTGTATTAAACTAATTTTTTAAGGGAACCTTCTTTACGCGCGCTGGGAATAAAATTTCAAGGCCGTGATCCACGAGCTAGCGGAACGAAAATCCGTCACGGTCGGCCTCGGTCGTCGATTAACCGGCTCGCGCCGTGATCACGTTATCAGCTGTTAACACGCTCACACACACACACTAGTGACCTTGCGAGTAAATGCAGGAAACCATTTTGAGAAACTTAATATATAGTGCAGGTCGAACCCCTCTTTTTAGAATATACCACTTTTATATCTATGAATGCAATCCCCGATCTATTATGGTTATTTAAAATGCTGACTTTTAATATGTCATCAAGGTCACTCTCCTGATTACGAAAATATATACCTACATTACTTATGTGAATACAGAAAATAACGTATCCCGAGCAAATTAAATCTGTCTGGATTAAAATTCAAGAATTCAGATTTTCGAACTATCCGATATCCGGATTTTTTCCACCACACACACACACACTCACTCACACGCGTACAATGTAAATAAAAGTGCCACGGCTGTTTTAGTTATTATAAGCCCATTATATCTTTCGTGAAAATAGAATAAGAAAATTAACAATAAATTTAATTAATTTCATATGGATTATATTTTATTCCAATACAAACCTAATCATTCTATCATTTGAACGATTCTGAAAGAAGTTCATAATATTCACATCCCAACATATATGTCATTCTATAAACATTTTATTTAAATCCTTATCAAAACAATAAAATTTAATATAGATATTTAAGCGTAAGTAGTTTTATTTCAAATATGCGCGCATAGAGTACACACTGATTTTTTTTTAACCACTACGTACGACTTAAAATGAACTTTTTATGAAATTTTCAAGCATTTTTGTTCAGTCTAACATTTTTATCCACTGAGTACCTACTGAATAAAAATTACGTAAAAAAACTCGCGTAGAACACATCGTGTTAATATAGTAAAAACAATGAAAACGATAACGCTGCTGCGCAGCGCACAGTAATTATTTGCCGTATTTCAAAAACCCCTTGGAAAATCAAAAAAATGACCTCCCCCAATGCACCAACTAGAGAAAATTACCTTTCAGAAAAGTCCCAGTCTTGACATTCAGTTTGAAGGACCACCTTTAGGGGCGGGATTACAGAAAATAATATAATGTACTACACCCTTTGTTTCGGTCGAATTACTATTTTGCGAAAACAATCTTTTCACCTATAAGAAATGTGTATCGATTCCACCGAACTTTATTCAAAGCAATTTTAAATTTGAAGTGTTAGACTTGAGTAAAATATTGGTTATTTACTGAGTCGATATCGAGTAGAATATCGTTGTTTTCAATCATTATAGTTCTCCGATTTTTCATTACTTCAATGACTTCAGAAATTTGTTTTGATATAGTAGTATTATGAAGAACGAGATCGGTATAAGCATTGACGTACAAGATGATTCACTCACTGAGTGCGCTCCTCTCAATTTTTTTTTTTTTTTTTTTGGTTTAATTTTGCATATATGGTATTCAAAATTTGATTATTAAGTGTAGTTACAGCCGATATTTTCGAATACTTAGATTTTTCACAACATTTAACGAATTTTCGGAGCAAGATTTTCGGTAGAATATTTTTACATATAGTATAAAAAATTTAAAAAAGTAAACACTTTTAAAATCTTTTTAAAAAATTTTTTTCCGTTACACTCAAAATCTAAAATTATTACGTAAATGTAAAAAATATATTTTAAATATATTTTTTATGTTTGTTGATATATGGTTATAATAAATTAATCTATTTTTAATTAAGTACGGATTCTTTCTTTACGAACATTCTCGACTTGCCCAACTAAACTACTAACATTCGAATTGAAATACTTCCATACTTGAAATGCTTCACGTTTGCTATTTCTTCTAAATTAATCTAAATTCAATAGAGTTAATTCTAGAATTTGAAGTGATTCAATGTAGTTCAAACACACCATCTCCACATAACATGTTGTGCAGGCAACATAATACTAGCACAATTTTATCAACAAATTCCGGTTGAATTTCATAGGGCCCTCAAAAATTATAATTGTTATCAATAATATCAATGCAGTATGGAAAATGTCACATTTCTTCGAATCTCGATGCAGTTTTTCACGTTTCTTCTGTTGGTATTGGCATTGTAATTGGTCCCAGCCTTTTCCATAATGTTTGACAAACCTCTTTTACTATTTCACGGACAGTGCTGAATCCTAATCTGCAGTTAAAGTCAAAAGCTAAAATCTGAAATAATATGATAAACCTTCAGGTGTGCCTAGCTCTTAAAATCGTTTATTTCTTCTAGGAAATGAAGCCAAACTACGGTGGAATAAACTCAGAAGATGTTATTGTAATGCAAGAAATAGGCGCCGTGTCGATACTAAAAGCGGTATAGCTTCCAAAAAAAAAAATTATTGGAAATACGAAAAACAAATGTCGTTTATTTTACCATTTTTAGAAAACAGAAAGTTAGTAACTATAAATAGTATTTAATTATGTTTATTTATTTTTTGATTTTATTCCAAATTTCTATTTAAGGACGCACGAAAACTTAAACGAATCTCAAGCTTCTCTTGGTTTAGTGACTGAACAAGGTGATCTTGCTGAGAAGTTTGGAGAAGAAATTGATCTACAAAGTCCATCAGATGAATTCAGTCATATGGATGTGGAAATTGAACGAAATGCCGACGCCAATTCAGATGCAATTGAAAAAACAACTTCAAACGATGCGAAATCTGTAAAAAAACACTACAAAGCCATAAAGCGAAATAAAAAACAAAAATGTATAACTGATTCTCCTGTAAAACAAATGGTTGACATTTTAAAAGATAGTTCGGCATTAAGAAAACGTCGCTTTGAAGAAAAGAGTGTACGCCCAGAAATATCTAAAACTGTACCTTTACAAAATATGGATGACACGGACATGTTCTTTCTAAGTATGTCCAAAATGACCAAGCAATTGCCAAAAGTCGAACAAGCGCGAATTAAACTTGCATTAAGCAATTCTGTATTATCTGCTGAAGTAAAATGTAACGAACAATCGTATTTTGCTCCTCATTATTCCTGTTTCACACAACAACAATCTGTCCCGTCTACATCACCAGCGTCAAGTACTATACAATCACTGAAGTCGCCCTCAGATTACTCCAGTGGATAATATTCGACTACTTCAGCACTATTATTTTTATTACTCGAAACGATGCCTCTTTTTTCACCGGATTATCTGTAAAGTATATTTAATGTATAAAAGTGTACATTTTAGTTTTTACTTTTCGATTTTAATTTTTTATTAAATAAAAAAAAAAAGTATTTTTTTTTTTTCATTACATATTTTTAAATAAAAATAAACTGTTTTAAAGATTTATAAGGTATATGATTTTTTTTTCTTACTTATATTAAACTAATAGCTAATCATTCTTCAGTACTTATAGCTTTTCGAAATTGAGCCATTTTGTTTTTTTATATATTACTCTTAATAAGTTCATGCAAGTAATCAAATTATTCTTTCATCATCCTAAAATACATATATAAAGATCTCTAAACAACAAATACTTAACACCATTAGACTACGACAGACATAATACAATATTTACAATATTGAGTACTTTAAAATAACACATATAATATCTGCTTAATATCAAAACTTCAGAAAGTTCTAATTATGAAACTAAGCCAACCCGCTCAATTCTGACTTCACCTTCGTTCTAAAATCGACAACATATATGTGTTTAAACAAAAAAATTGAAACATTAGATTTATTCCACATAATGTTTTACTTGAAGGATTTTCGTCAAATTTTGATATTAAAATTTCTTTTTAAAAAAAATACTACACTAAGCTTAATTTTTTTTTTGATCACAAAGTACGACTTCTAATGAATCTCTTGTTTTATTTTCAAGTATTTCTAAATAGAAATCTCACAATTCTACCACAGAGTACCAGCCAAATAAAATTACGTACCAAACCCAATGAAAATAGCTAAAATTTGTTCAAAATTTTACCACATCTAAGAAAAGGCAAGTATAAGTTATGTGTCCAAATTTAAAGCCCATGAAGTCTCTGCGAATATTTTGAACTGAATTGAATTACAACAAATAACAAAATTGAAAATAATAAAGAACATTATTTTCGTAAATTTCCAGTTTTTCTTATGTTTTATTCCGGATTTTCCCAAATTTTATGAAAACCACTTGGAAAATCAAAAACTGATCTTCCTAAAGTACCATCTGAACAATAATTTATTTCAAATATGCTGCTATACGTATATACCGGAACAAAATTTCTGATAGAATTTTTGTACAAAGTAAAAAAAAAAAAATTAATAAACATCTTTGTAAAACAATAAATTATAAAATATTATTATAAACTGAAATTACTGGATTACTGGAACGTAGTTAAAAATTCGACTAAAATTAATGAAAAATACAATGTTCCACACTATCTTAAGGATTGTAGATAAACTTTCAATTGAAAAATAAATCATCATTTACATTGTTGTGTAAAACCATGGTTAAGGTACAGAATGACAGAGAAAAGACTCAGGGTTATGTATGCATAGCATCTATAGACAGAATATACAAGATTTAAACTTAGTTGACAATGTGATTGATACATTATCATAAAATAAACGAAATTTAGAGTCATTGTTTTAATTATGGTTTAATTATAATTAATTATTATTGGTTATTTTTGTTTTACTAACTGATTTGGCAATGTTTTGTTATTGCTAAATAATACTAATAATAATAATAATTGTTTTTTTCCGTGACAACCATTCATATCCCAATGGTAACACATGTGAATAAACAAAATAAATAAATAAACAATTAGATGTTCTAGCAAAAAATCACTATTTTACTCCCTTAGAGGTTGAATTTTGAAAAAAATACTTTCTTAGCGGATACCTGTGTCAAAATAGCTATTTATATGCCAAATTTCAGCCCGATCTGTTCAGTGGTTTTGGCTAGGCGATGATGAATGAGTTAGCCAGTCTGAAAATGTTATTTCACATATATGTAGAAGATTAATAGTTTATCAAATAAAATCCTACTAACAATATTATAAAAGTGAAAGTTTGTGAGGGTGTATGGATGGATGTTTGATATTCTTACACGCAAAAACTGCTGAACTAATTGTGATGAATTTGGGTGTAGAGATAGATGCGATCTTGGAGAAAAACATAGGCTATTTTTTCTCGCGAAAATAAAACTTGAAGGATATGAAATAGGGAATGAAAGGTTTTTAGGTATTTCTGATACGAAAATTAAATTATTTTTGTTGAATTATGGATTACTACAGTAACATGGATGATTAATATTTGTTTTTATTTTATTATAATATATTTGGCTGGTGTTACATAGCAATACGCAATTTGTTCATATTTTATGCTGAGCCTTTTCTTAGAAAATAGTACACGATTTTACGGGCTATTAAAATTGTTTAATACAACAAAGGTTCCAACCATCGAGTTTTAAATTTATTTTTCAGGTTTTTATTTTACGTTTTGCTGGATAGTCAACGATATCGATAATTTGCAGGCTTCCGGGTACGACCATCACCGCTTCACCACGCGGTTACAAAATTATTATGATAACCTTAAATCTACACGTGATAACAAGACGCGTATAATAATAACAGGGTCAATGAAGACGACGGTGGCGATGTAGAACAATCCCGAGCCCCGAGCATACTTATATACTTATCTCGGTTACCTGCCTCAGTCAGTGGTGCATCTAGGATTTTTACACTTCGGGGCAAAAATGAATTTAAACACACACCCCCTCTCTTATACGGGTAAACTATACTTCAACGTTTTTTTTAATTTTCCTTATGCCAACCTTGTTCGTTCCTTCCTCTGAACATTGTCATTTCGAATCATTTCGTCACCTAGGGCGATGACTTCTTTAGCACCTCCCGAAATTCGCCGCTATGTCCTCTATCTCGGTATAAAACCCGCTAACGGCAATTTGTTTTCGAATACTGTAATCCAATAAAACCGTTATCAACGCGCATAATAATCATTTATATCATATTAACAATAGAGATTTCGCATGAATCATTTTGCGCTGTGAACGGACGGCCGTGAAAATATACTCTCCGACGGAGGTAGCACAGTAGAATATTTACTCTGCTACAGACATACAAAGCATATTTTTTTTTTCAAAATTTGGAGAGTAACTGGATTTCAAAGATAACATCGGATAGAGAAAGAGAAAGAGAGAGAGAGTGAAGAAGATTTCTCATTTGGAAGATAAGATAACTATGAGATGATTAAAAAAGTTGGAGATGATAGATTATAGGCGAGAGTTGGATAATATAATAATAATAATAATAGAGAATTAATAACAATTCTAACTTTTTGGTTGGTAATTTGGAAATGAGTTGAAGTAATTCAATAATAGCAAGGTATTCGGCTGTATAAGATATGTTATAGGTGCAAGATAATTAGAGAAAGAGATACGCAAATCAGGAACTATGCCCAGCAGATAGAAGAAAACCTTAGTACCTTAGTACTAAGGTAGGTATTATTATGTAAATTTGAGTTGGTACAACAGCCCGTGTCGACGTTTCAATCCCTCTTTTGCCATCATATAGTCGGCTACTTACCTACGTCATCATCTTTAGTGATGGATCGCACTCAACGACGGATTTTAATGAATGTAAGTACCTATATTACTTATTCAGAAATGATTATTATTATTATTTATTATTAATTTTGTACGTAAGTCTTTGGATTATACAATAATTTATATCTCTGAGCAAAGCTAAACCATTGATAACAAAAAACGATTCTAAGCAAAGTTTGGTTATAAATGATTTGAAAGACCGTAATATTTACAGTTTTCATCAAAATTTTATTTTAAAACTCTTATAAAAAAAAATTACGATTTATGACACACTTAAAATTTGTAACAATATACCTGGTTAAAAAGAAAATTTTAAATGATAAAATTGTTAACGCCGTAAAGTCGTCAATTTTTATTTAAAGTCTTTTGCGGTTTTCGCTATTTACTATAAAAAATGATTGAAAAATAATAACCCGAATTAGTCACTCACAGGCTAGATCCAATACACAACGATAAATGTCTTTGTCGGTTTTTAATCAAAGAAAGATGTATGGTTGAAAACATAAATCGTGCAAATTTAAATATTTGAAATCGTTCACACTGCGGCGCCATACATATTCATCCATTTTTCTAATATATTTTTTCCGGGTTTTATCAATTATGATGAAAATCACTTGAAAAATCAAAATACTACCTCTTGAATTCACCATTCAGATCCAAATGCAACATAAACATTTTCTTGTCATTTTTTGATTGGAACAAGATACCTGGTAAATAGTTGTTTACAAACACAAAGGAAAGAAAAAAAAAATCATAAATGGGCAATCGATTATCGTTGTGTATTTTAATTAATTATGTTTTCCGTGTCCCTCTATCATAGCCGCAATCAGCTTGACGATATTATTCCGCGCGTGTTATTTTAAACATGCGATTTGTATTCATTCGTGGTTCTCGATCTTGTCTCGGTTTTTTACGAAGATGGCATTTACCATCGTACTAAAAATAATACCTATTATATTAACATATTTTAACGACATAATTTTCTTTTATGTATTTTAGATTCTGAACGGATCAAAAAATACATTAGTTTTACTTTGATGTGTGGTTTAGATTCTAATATTGTTCTGAGCGTAGCGAGCTATAATGTTTTATATTCTAAGTAGAGCGAGGAATGTATTGGTTTTACAGTGATGACAACAATTTTTTTTTTATACGGACAACTTTTTTACCAGCAATTTTATTCCAATTTACAATGTACTACTTTTTCTGAAAGGAAACCTGACTGGAGACGTACTTTGAGGAGGTAAGTTTTAGTTTTTCCCAGAAGTAACAAAATAGTTTGTGCACACTATAGTTTCAATAGTAGCTGATTTCATTTAATAGCTGAGAACATGTTCTATAAGGTGTATGTATTTATAACCTAATAAAAGTGCATCCATTTTTGTAGCATACTTATGAAGTCAAAAATGATGTAAAAACCTAAAATATTTATATGAATTGTAGGATATTGTAAGGAAACAAAAAAACAAATTCTCTATAAATTAAATTTAAAAAAATAATGTAGAATAAATTATACAATCAACGATTTTTAAAAAAAATATCGACTACTCCGTTAAAAAATAAATGAACTTAAAAATTCGATAAATTGAATTTAAATGTTTAAGTG